GTCCTTGGAGAGGGACATCATGTTTGGGAGAGTGGAGGGACGGTGCAGGAGCGGAAGACCCTCGATGAGATCGATCGATTCTGTGAGTGGAGTGGTGCGAATGAATGTGTTTGAGACAGTGAGGTTGGCACAGGATAGAACAGCGTTTAGGGCTCTTGTACAATGGGTCGCTGAGTTGCAAACAACTCGATGGCACATAACAACAGACAACAAAAACAACAACAACACACCTTTTGATTTCCTGACTGTTGTTACTAAGAGTTGACTCTAGATCCAAATAAAATGAAATCGTTGACAACGTCAATCTTTTCTCCATCTATCATGATGTTGCCTTCTTGTCCCAGTGGTGGTGAGTTTTGTTTCTATCATGTTGAGATGTAATCCATAAAGATGGCTGTAGTTTTGATCTTCTGCAGCATTTTAAATCTTCATTTTCAACAGGCAAGGCTGTGCCATATGGACAACACAGCTGCTGATGAGTCTTCTTATAATCCTCACGTCACATTCTTCTTCATATAGTCCAGCTTCTCAAATTATTTGCTCAGCAAACTGCAGACTGAATAAGTATGAAGAAAGGGAACAACTCTGACACACATCTTTCCTGACTGTAAACCATACAGTGTTCCCTTGTTCGGTTCAGACAATTGTTTCTTGGGCTAGGTATAGGTTTCACATGAGTACAATTAAGTGTTCTGAGGTTCCCACTCTTTTCAATGTTAGTCATAATTTCCTATGATCCGTACAGTTAAATGCCTTTGCAAAATCAAGAAAACACAAGTAAACATCTTTCTGGTATTCTCTGCTTTCAGCCAAAATCCGCTGGCCATCAGCAATGATATCTCTTGTTCCACAGCCTCTTTTGAATCCAGCTTGAATTTACGGCAGTTACCTGTCAATGTATTGTTCTGGACATTTTTTAAATAATCTTCTGCAAGATTTTTATTTGCACGTAATATTCATTATATTGTTTGATACTTTTCAGATTCTGTTGGATTGCTTTTTTAGAATGAGACTACGGATTTCTTCCAGTCAGTTGGCCAGGTAGCTGTCTTCCACATTTCTTGGCATAGACTAGAAAGATGGAAGGACTCAAAAGAAGACAAAAAGGCTTTTTCCAAGCGGCAGAGAAGATGGCAGACATTCAGAGCAAGCATGCCTACCAGAAGCAGCCAACCATCTTCTAGAACAAAAAGAGGGTCCTGTTGGGAGAAACTGGCAAGGAGAAGCTGGGCTTCAGGAGGTCCAAGGAGGCCATTGAGGGGCACCTACATTGATAAGAAAGGCCCTTTCACTGGTAACCTCTCCATCCTAGGATGGACTGTCTGGTATGGTGACCAAGATGAAGATGCAGAGGACCACCATCCTCCACCAAGCCCACATCCTCCACCAAGCCCACATCGACTACATCCACAAGTACATTTGCTTCAAGAAGCACCACAAGACATATCCATGCACCTGTCCCCCTGCTTCACAGACATCCAGACTGGTGGCACTGTCCACTGTCACTCGTTGCTAAGTGTCAGCCTTATTTAATGGTTGTGAGTTACAACATGCTCACAGTCACCAAAAAGTAGTTCCAGAAGTTCTGAGCTGAAGTGAAAGAAAGCTATTTTTTTCCCAATTAAAAAAAAAAAGAAGAAGAAGATGGAAGTAATAAAGAGTCACTGTACCTAAAAGAATTGATCGACATGGAACCATTTAAGGAAGGAGCAGGTGATCAAGAACCAAGGGTCATGAAGGAAGAAGTTCAAGCTGCACTTTTGTGTTGCTTCTGTTGTTAGGTGCTTTTGTGCCTTTCAGAGCGATCCGATGAATAACGAATCTAAAAACCTTGTCATATCCTGTGCCTCCCTCATAAATTCTAACATAATTGAGCCCATTTTCCACAGTCACCTTATCAATCCATCTGGTTGAGGGTGGGCGCAATACTAATCCACGTTTCAACCAAGAGAGACAATCCTGGATTGCGCACTAGTCTGTAACAAGAAATCGGGAAGACTGCTACCTACAGCAACTGTCATTAACAAGGTTTTAAATTTAAACCCTTAAGTTAGGTTTTACGTTTTCTCTTTCTCCATCAACCCTCGGTGTTGGAGAAGAGTACATGGACCGCCAAGAAAACGAGCAGATATGTCCTGGAGAGAGTGCAGCCAGAGTGCTCTTTGGACACAAGAATGATGAGGCTTCGCCTCACATATTTTGGGCGTGTTGCTAGGAGGGGATATTCCTTGGAAAGGGACATGATGCTGGGAAGCGTGGAGAGTCGGCGAAGGAGAGGAAGATACTAAATCAGTGGGACTGACACAGTGACTGCTTCAATGGGCTCTTGTGTGTCTGGTAGCGCGTTTAGATGGCGCAGGATAGGACTGGTTTCAGATCGTTTGTTCATAGGGTCGCTATGAATCCTACTGGACTCTGCTGAATCCAAAGTAAAATGTTACTTAACACAAAAATTAAAGACAACAGATTCCAGGCCGCCCTTCTGTGTGAGGACCCCGCGAGGAACCACCCCCGCACAAGACAGCCTCTGGGTTTGGGCCGGTTCCCCACCTGGGAAGCCCGAGCAAAGTCAAGGCGAGACACCAACGGCTTATCCTTTGTACAAGGTGTGTAATTAAAGAGACTGATGTCTTTGGCTATTAACGAGAAGCATGCAAATCAATGCACTTAAGACCACTGTTAATCACTGACTGACGTTAGTAGTGACCTCCGAGAACTCCCAGTCGGGGAAACTCAAGTTTGCTCACATCCCGTTTGCACGGCAGCAGGTTCAGGCCGACACTGCAACGCAGGAGACACTAACCTGACAGTCCCCGACGGGGTAAATTCCGCTTGTAGTCGATCGGGGCGTAGCCCCCTGTCGGGGGCATGTCCTGCTTCACCTTAGAGGCCGCCATGTTCACTCGGCTCCTCACTTCCGGCCGCAGGCGGAAGTTACGTTTGAGGCACCCGCCGCTGTCACGTTGAGTGTGGCGGAAGTACGGCGCAGTTTCTGATTAGGCTCAGCGGCTGCGGCCCCAGTGTATGCAGTTTATCCCGTGGCGGGGAACGCTGGGCCATATCCAGTTGCGTTACCAAGTCCTTATTCTCTCTTCTCTTAGAATGGGCGTTGGAAAAGCCCTGATCACTGCAAAAAGGGCCTCCGCCAGCCTGGCTCAAAGGAGCCAAGACTCCAAACCAAGCCCCCTTCTAGGTTTTCTCCACCTCAAGGAACTGTATGATCAACGCAGCCTTGAGCTGGTAACATGGTGTAAGGGGATGGTCACCAGTTACCTGGAGCCGGCCTCAGGAGAAGGCACTCAGCTCCCTGTTGTCTAGACCCCCCTCAGGAGAAGGCACTCAGCTCCCTGTTGTCTAGACCCCGGGATCAGGGTAGCTTGTCAGAAACTTGTCAGAAAATTCAGGATGATTATGACTCACAGACCATGAGGGGCTTGGACACTAATAGGACAGGTGGTTCAAGAGCTCCCCACCCCCATCCCGCAGCAGGGTGACGCCTATAGTCACTTCACAAGGCAGAAATTGTTACCGCAGCAATAAAGGACACTGCAGCTGCAGGGGCCTGGGAGTGGGCACATGGGGGTGCGGAGGTGCAGGTGCCAAGCGCCATGGGTTAGGCCCGAGATCGGAGTCCGGCCGCCCCCCCGACAGCAGCCGCCTCCTGCTCCCCACGCGCCCCAGGCGCCACCATGTCGGGCGACAAACTCCTGAGCGAACTCGGCTATAAGCTGGGCCGCACAATTGGAGAGGGCAGCTATTCCAAGGTAAAGGTTGCCACGTCCAAAAAGTACAAGGGCACGGTGGCCATCAAGGTGGTGGACCGGCGGCGGGCACCGCCCGACTTTGTCAACAAGTTCCTGCCGCGCGAGCTGTCCATCTTGAGGGGAGTGCGACACCCGCACATCGTGCACGTCTTTGAGTTCATTGAGGTGTGCAACGGGAAGCTCTACATCGTCATGGAGGCGGCGGCCACTGACCTGCTGCAGGCTGTGCAGCGAAGTGGTCGCATTCCCGGCGCTCAGGCGCGTGACCTCTTTGGGCAGATCGCCGGCGCTGTGCGCTACCTGCACGACCACCACCTGGTGCACCGCGACCTCAAGTGCGAGAACGTGCTGCTCAGCCCCGACGAGCGCCGCGTCAAGCTTACCGACTTTGGCTTCGGCCGCCAGGCTCATGGCTACCCAGATTTGAGCACCACTTACTGCGGCTCGGCGGCCTATGCATCGCCAGAGGTGCTACTAGGCATTCCCTACGACCCCAAGAAGTACGATGTGTGGAGCCTGGGAGTTGTGCTCTACGTCATGGTCACCGGGTGCATGCCCTTCGACGATTCGGACATCGCCGGCCTGCCTCGCAGACAGAAGCGTGGCGTGCTTTACCCTGATGGACTCGAACCGCCTGAGCGCTGCAAGGCCCTAATCGCAGAGTTGCTGCAATTTAGCCCGTCGGCCCGACCCTCTGCTGGCCAGGTAGCGCGCAACGGCTGGCTGCGGGCGGGGGACTCTTGCTAACCGCCGGGGCTCCAGCCATTCGCGCGGCCCGGGCATTGCAATGACGCGACGCACGTACAGTTCCAAACTCCGAGTGTCCGCCGCATGCCTGTGCGCACGCGCCTTCCCTCTCTCCCCTCTCCCTGACCGCTAAGTACCGAGCTCCTCCTGCTCTGTAGCGACCCCGAGAGCAGGAGGGTGCATGCGCGCGCCCGGTTCCCTTCGCGAAGGCACCTGGAGGGGCCTGGGTACGCGTAGCTGGAGGCAGTGCGCCTGTGCGGAAAGAGCGAAGGCCGCGTGGCGGGTGGCGCGCGGTGAAAGGACCACAGCGAGGGGGCATCGGCGCGTGGAGTCCGTCTCCCGTCCCGGGAGGCTCAGGGCGCTTTGGGTGCCGCCCTCCCCGCCTTCTGCAATAAACTCTCTTCTTCGCATCTGGGTCTAGCTGTGGCCCCTTGTTGGGTCAGGGGGAGTTGTTTCTCTTAAGGAAAAACAGGCGTGGGCTACCCGTTTTCGAGATAGGCGAGTTGAGGCTCCAGCTCTATCCGTCAACAGAGTTGGATGGGTTTCGAACCCGTTTTTTTGGGGGGGCTTTGAAATCGACCCCACGATTTTGGTGGTCTTGGGAATGAGGACGCTGAGCTGAAGGCTCACTGGATAGAGGGGAAGGGAAGGGCCCCTGCTCCAAAGTGGACCAAACCAAGACGCACACAGCTGTCATTTATCCAAAACGCTAAGATTCGAAACTGGGTCTGTTGATCAAGCAGCCCTGGCTTCATTTGCTGCCCTTCCAACCTAGGGAATTAGTTGGGGGTAGGACCTGGGCATGGGTTGGCTTCCTGCACTTAGGAGCGTGAAACTCAACAGAAAGCTTTGAAACCATCAGAAGGACGCCTGTGGGAGGGGGTGCGCAAACGACCTTTTTAGCTAAACTCTAAAGGAACCTACCTGAAAGAGGTGGCAAGGGGTGTATTTGGGGTGAAGGACTCAACAGGGGCCTGGGCACTTTGAATTTTGTTTGCAGTGAGGTTACTGGGTTTGGCCAGTAATTGGCTAGGGTTCATGGTATGTTGTTGACCAAAGGAAAGGAAGAGATGGGGACATTTATGGATGGAGGTCAGGTCAGAGTGAGTAAAGGCAGGGGGCTAGCAGCTGGAAGCCTCTATGTTAGGCCATTCTGGGTTTTTATTGAGAACCACCAGGAAGTAAACAAAAACCAAGGATCATGGGGAAGTAAATCTCAAGAGAAATCTTTTGTAAATAAGGCCTAATCTTCTCTATTATTTATCTTATCCTTATCTCAGGAGGGAGGGATTTAGTAAATACAAACTAAGAATTATGGGCATGCCCAAGGTCGGCCTTGGTGTTCTTGGTGTTACAAGGGGATTTCTAGATTGTATCTATGCCTCTCTCATCTTGATGCAGCATTTGGTTAACTCATTAAAACCGGTATTTGGCTTTCCACAATGGTATGCATCTTCCATAATCTCTCCTAGTTGCTTAGTCCAATCTCTGCACAATTCCTTAGAGAACTGTTGGGCTTGTGGTTTGACTGCATCCCACTTCCATTCATGCCTGGGGCCTAGGATCGATAGGTCCTTCCCCTCTTGAAGAGGACCTTTTCACTACATTTTGCTTCTGTTGCTATGGGGGTGGGGTGGGGGGCTTGCTCTCAGATGCTGGTTGAATCTCAGCAGAGCTGAAACAAAACTAGACTCCCACCTTGACCTGAATCCCTGGGTGGTATAAATGCTTATGCCCTCAATTACCATCTGAAGGTTGGTGGTTGGAACCCACTCACACCTTGAAAGGAAGCTCTGATTGGTGGTCAGCTTCTATACAATGCATTTCTGTTCTATACACAAGGTCACCAGTAGAATTATTAGGTACTGTTGAGTGGACTCCCATTTCACTGACCCAATAAACAGATTGAAATCTTACCCTATCCTGTGCCATCTTTACAATCTCTCACATTCAAACCCATTGCTCTAGTCACTGTGTCAGTCCATCCTGTTGAGGGTCCTTTATTCCTGTTTCTACTTTTTCAAGCACTGGTGCCTCCTAACATGAAAAACTTCAAGTCCAGAGTTGGAATACTGAAGTCGTAACTGACATGATGGTAGCTGGTTTGGATTTTTGTTGTCCTCCAGGCTTTGGGCATCTGGTTCACTGGAGATTTGCAAGAGCCACAGCAGAGGATGCCCTGCCCTGTCTCAGCTTCCTGAACCTCTCAACTTGCAAATAAAACCCTCATTTCCCTTCCCCAGTCCAGCCACACTACCCTCCTCAATCTTTCCATCAGCCACATGTGACCTCACCTTTACCAAGCTACCTGTCTTCATTCTCCTTGACACTATTCTGCTCCACTTTACCTTAACACAGTATGTTGTTCCCTTCTGTTGAGGTCCTCCTCTGTCCATTCCTCCATTAGTACTTGTGGGCAAACAGGTGTGTGTGTGGGGGGGCATGGGTGTCTCAGGGACCAGGACTGCTGTCCCATTTTGTAGGCTGGAGACACTGGAGCTCATGGCCCAGACTCACCCTGGGATCTGTTCCAGTCTTCAAGGAGCTTGGTGCCTGACCAGGGAAGCCCAGGAGTTACACCCACCCTTAGAGTAAGTGAAGTCAAAGGGCTGAACCCCTAAAACTGCCCCACAAATGAAACTTCATAGGTTTGGGTGTGGTTTCTCCTGTCAGAGCAGCTCTCTTCACCTGATATAAAATGGGGTAATTTCTGTTTCCACACATGACCTTGAGGGCCAAAAAGCCTGAGGCCTCAAGACCCACCAGTAAGAAAAATGTGATGACATCTCACGCTGAAATTAACCAAAGTGGTCACAGTCTCACTTAAAAAGAATAAAATCTGTTAATAAAAACCTTTCACCAAGAAATGCTTCTTTTAGAACTGGTTCTGTGCCTGGGACATTTCCTGAGGTCTGAGTGGTCCCATGCTTGAAACAAGCATCTGTAACTTTATATCCCAAAGCAATGGCACCCAAGATAATATCCAGCCTAGAAGTACTGGTAAACTCTTCTGTTTGGAAGTGCTAGCCTAAGGACGCTGAAGCACAAGTGCAAGGCACTACAGATCCACAGCTGCCCACCCCAGTGGGACACTCTGGCTATCCTCCTGTATCCTAAGTTTCAGTGTTTACAGAAAACAGGGTTAGGGGAAAAAATGCCAACAGCCAACACTCGATCCATGTCTTTATTGTCCTTCAGGTTCTAGAATTGCCTCACAATACAACGCATAGTTATGGGTTCCAGCGTTTTCGTTTATTTCAACTGCCTATTCCGGTTTGATGCCAAATTTTTTTATAAAACATGTTTTATTATCAAAGATTTAGAGTCACAATAAATACAAGTGACAACCTCCCCCCAAATACCCTGCACTTGTGTAATTGTCTATTACACTTTTCTGTGAAAGGAATATAAAAGTCGCTTGCTGTTTGTAAAAAAGCTCAGTCTGAGTTATTTCAGCAATGTCCTGTATAGCATAGTTCAGCATTAAAGAAAAATTTTGAGGCCGAGCAACAAGGCCCACTTTACATCCCTATGAGCAGGTATGTATATATGTATAAAGAAAACTCCTCCCTGCGTGACTCCATACACAGGGAAGCCGTGTGGGGGGTGAAAAATTCCTGAGGGGACCAGGAGCCACAGGACACAGTGGGATCTGAGTTATAATCTCTTGTCCCTTCTGTCCCGGGTACATAGGATCCACAAGTCCCACCACCTACGATCTTATCAAGGGTAAGGGTTCTGATACTGCTGACTGGGACCTCATGGTTAGACCAGGACAGGCTGATGTAGGAGCTCCAAGCAGGTGTGTTACCTGTGTGTCTGTACACACACATACACACACTTCTACATGGCAATCCCTCAAATTAATTCAGATGAAAAAAGAATTTTACTCAAATAGCATGGCAATACTTTGTTTCCAGTTGCCAACAGGCATCTGTGACAAGTGATCAGTGACACAATGACAAATTGTCAGTCTTTTGTCATTGTGGGGACTGTGAGGGTTTCAAGTGGTAACTCTCTTGATGGCTGACACCCACAATGGTAACCAATGCCATTTCAAACATCTTATTCAAACCCCTGACCAGAGAGGTATTTAATTTCTTGTCCTATAAGATCATCAATTTCATCACAGAACCACCTGTGATCTGGAACATCCTAAAACTGAAATCACACTGCAAAGGGGAACTTGGGGGGGGGGGGGAATTTCAAGGTAGTAGAAATGAACTAAAGATTAAGGCGTCTTACATTCTTGCCCCTTTAAAAAAAGCTACCAAAGTCACAGTATGTTGTCCCTGATGAGAGTGGCCAAGGGGGTGGTGGGCAGGTCCCAAGTTCCTCTGCCCAAGACACCCCTTTCCCTGTGGGGGAGTCATAGTTTGTACTGAGCTCACAAGGTCCATCCAAGCCCAGGAGGGACATCCTGTGGGCTTGCACCAACTGTTCCTGAGCACGATGGAGGAATTGAGGTTCTGATGGGGCTGGTGGCCCTCATCACACACCTAGGGTGCATGCGCCTTGCCAGATGCCTCTGCCAACAGAGTGCCTCGGCCTGGTGCTGCACTGCTTCTCTGCATAGTGTGAGGTTGGCTGTTCCCATGGGAGGGTCACCAGGCGCACCTTCTCCGAGGACTCAGAGCATCTGGCCCTTGGCGTGAACAGAGAGGGCCAACAGCTCAGGGTCAGAGAAGATAGGTATTTATTTGCCAGGCACACAGAAAAATGCGAGGAATAGAAAGGCTTGCATACTTTGATTTTTGGGTGTAAAAACACACCCTTTACCCCCTTCTGAATGTTGATGTCCATCCTCTCCCCCAAACCCCTAGACCTCAAGAGGAAGGCTGCTCTGCTCCACCTCCCCCTCCTTGGCCCATCAAAGTGATGTGCTCAAAACAAAAACCAAATGAGGAATTTTTGGAGTTTACAAAACAAAAATAATTAGAACCTTTTGCGAAACTAGGTTTCCTAATGCTGTCAAAAGTTTCCTAAATACTGACATAATTCACATAACATAAGAAAGGGTAACATGAGTAATAGCTGTATCTGATGGAGGGTCTCCTGCAAAGTAAGAGTTTCAATGAAGTCTCCAGCTACAACCAGAGGCAGGTCAGGACTAGGCTGTCCTTGGGGGGAGGTTGTGCATAGCAAATTAGAGGCTTCACTTTCCCCCAAGGAACCTGGATTTAAAGAGCAGGAGGAAAAACACAAAACAAAACTAAGGGGTTAAAAAAAACCAAACAAAACCACAACAAACCTGAGGACAAACCAGGACAGCATCCGGCTGTAAGGAAGGGTTTCTAGACTAGACCCACACTGAAATCCTGAAGTTGGGGTGGGGGTGGGGGGAGGTAGCACCTGGGTCGGACCCTGACCCAGGACACACCTGTCACGCACACTTGACACTTCACTGTCAATGTGGCGTATGATTCCATTCATTGAAATCAGTAGGAAAAGAAAAGGAGAAAATTTAATAAAATAACAACAAAACCACAGCAGCCCCCTCCTGCTTCCTAGGCAAGTTCCTGGGTTCATGTGCCTATCTTCCCTCCTTGCCAGCAGACTGTCCAGATCTCTGGTCTCAGGAGGGCTTGGGTTCATTTTGTTCTGCTGAGTGTGAGGGTCCCAGGGTTATCAGATAAGCAGCAGCTGAGGGCTTCCTGTGGGGTTGGTCCAGTCTCTGGCTACCAGTCGCCTGCCCCTGGGGCACGGAGCAGATGCCGTGCTGTCAGGACCTGGGTCTGCACAGCTTACTTTCAACTCCATCATTATGAGGTGATTCAAACATTAAGTCAAGTGACAGGCCGCCACAACAGAGGGTCATCAGGATCTGGAAGCAGAGGAGCACCCACCACCTTGAGGTGCTGGGCCACGAGGGCTGGATGCTCTCACTGAATGCGTCATGTCCAAAGGATTGAGCCTGCCAGAAACCAGAGTGGGAGGAGGGCAGGATGCAGAACTAGCCCCATCCCCAAGTCTGTTTTTCTGCTGGTGACGGCAAACTAAAGGCAAAAGAGGAAAGAAGCAAGCCACTCAGTCTCCCTCGCCCAGCGCTGTGCAGGCTCTGCAGCGTCTCAGGTTGCTTGCTTGGTGACCATACTCAGCAGCAGCATCTCCAGGCAGAGGATAGGCTGGCTTGGCCCTTCTTGGCAGAGGTGGCCATGTGGGGAGAGGGAGGAGGGAGGCAGGTCTCCACTATTTCCATGTGGCCGACTGGGGGATGGAGCGTGGTGGGATCATATCCAGGAGGTACTCGCGCTGGCGGTCTACAGCTGAGGACGCCTTGTGAACTGTGAGACCTGGGCTGACGAAGGTGAGGGCCCCACCTGCAACAGAGAACATGCAGCACCATAGGGTCAGAGAGCAGACAGTATCATGGGGTCTGCTGCTGGTAGAATTCCATGTAAGATGACCCTCACTGACACTGCCACCTAGGAAGACCCCACTGGAAAGGACTCTGGGCAGAGCCAGCATTCTACAAGTCATAGTATCACTATTAAATCCCAGGAGAGTCTAAGAACTTGATCCCTGCTCATCCTCAACTTGAAAGCCCAAGGAGGCCAATGCCATCATTGTGTGAAGATTATGTATAGACTATGACAGAAGGTAAGCCGAGGAGAGGCCTGGACCTCTCCTCAAATTGTAGTTTGATCTTTCTAAAAGGTTCCCCAGTCATACCTGGTTGTCACCCATAATGTGCCCGACATTCCTGCTCATGGACACTAGCAAGAGCCTAGTCACCTCTCCAATCCTCACTGACCACATGCAGGTGCCCCTGTGGCACTGCTGAGACCTGTACACAAAAATCAGGCACAGCTGCCCCTGGAACAGCCTATCCTCAAAGGATTGCTCACAACACACTAAATCTCTCATCAAAGCATAAGTAAGAAGCATGGCCAACATGCAACACAATTCCCAAAAGGAAATAGAAGTTTATTCACACACAGTACACAGCATCACAGTGTAACATGCTCTCAAAGGTAGAAAATGTGGCCTCTTATCCTCCCCTCTAATGTTTTCTGAATTTCTAAAAAGAGCCACTGTTAACTTTTATACTTATAAAAAGAAGAAACTGACATCCCATATTATGTATACATACAGGTTTTTAGTCTGGAAACAAAGAAGGTCCCCATCATCTTTGTCAGAGAGGAGACCAGAATTACCATCCATCCCAGAAGTACTTTTGGTGGAAGTTAATATATTGTGGAAAGCATTCTGGGGTTCAAGAAGTACATATGAACCTGAGTTCACTGATTACATCTTGCCTGGCTTGCCCTTGAACCACAGCTTGACCCTTGGTGTGCTGTGGGTATCCCGAGATTGTGACAGGGAGACACTATTCCAACAACTCCTCACACCCCAACCTCACACTCTTGCGCCTATAAAACAACTCTGAGATATCATCTCATCCCAATCAGAATAGCAAAATTTAACAGAACAGCAAACATCAAATGCTGGCGAGGTTGAGGAGAAACTGGAACCCTCTTTCACTGTTGGTGGGAGTGTAAAATGTAAAATGCAACCACTATGGAAGGCGGTACGGTGCTTTCTCAAAAAGTTGCAAATTGGGAGCTCTGGTGGCTTAGTGGCAAGAAGCTGCACTGCAATCCCAGAGAAGCGTTGTTTGAACAAACCAGATGCTCTGCTGGAGAAGGAGGGACAATCTCCTCCTGTACCAGTCAGATCAGATTTGATGGTGTACACACACACACACACACACACACACACACACACACACACACACAAGAATAAAAAAGTTGCAAATAGAAATACTGTTTGACTCAGCAATACCACTACTGGGAATTTACCCTAAAGAAACCATAACTGTCATCCAAGCAGATATATGCACACCCATGTTTAGCAAAGATGTGGAAACAACCCAAGTGGCCATCAACAAATGAATGGGTAGAGAAGCTCTAATACTATGCAGCATTGAAAAACAAGGAACTTATGAAATATTATGCAAAACGAATGACCCTGAAGGACACTATGCTGAGTGAAATAGCTCAGTCACAAAGGGACAAATATTGCACAGGGGCATTGTTGTAAAATGGGGCTGACATAGGGGTTAAGGGAAGACAAAAAGGAGGGAAAGAATAATGTACACTGCATTGAAACACAAGAGGCAGAGAACTGTTTAAAGGGGATATTAATATATTATGATTAGGTATTATTGTCATGACATGAGTCCAGAATGAAGGCTGCATAGTGGACTTGGGGAGAGGGATTGCCTAACAATGGAAGAGTTTTTCTCTTACTTTTCAAGGAGAAGGGTTAATTGTGGGGGAAGAGGGTGGGTAGAAAATCCAACAATGAATGACTGGAAACACTAAGTCTCTATAAACTTGCATTAAAATAAAATAAAATAAAAAAGCTCTCTCTAAATGCACACATGCTATGACACGACACATAAGAGGCCATAGCTGTCCAACAATGCAGATTCCCTCCCTGCTAACCTCAAACAAGGTCATACTTGACGAGTAATGTCACAATAGCCAAGAGTCTATGTCTGTAACATACACCCCAAAGTGCTGGCTTTGTGGCAGCACTTTATGCTCCTAGACTCCACGATGAAAATTCTACCACCCTCTGTTTGCACGGACTCTTGTGGAATCCGTCCTCTGTCAGCCTCAGCCTTCTCAGTCACTAGGGCCATCACTGGCATCATCTTCCCAAGGAAGTACATAAGGACTCAGAATGACACATGCCACTTCTGCAACCATGCTGTGTGTTTCTCATTCATGGTCCTCTATTTCTGAGGGGCACACAAGGAACACTCATCTGACTCTTAATTTTGTGGCATAAATAACAAACAGGACAAGGAGAGACAATGGTAGGAGCAGAAAGGTGTTCTTAAGGGGATCAAGTGCTGATACGCCTGCCCCTTGACGCCCACTGGTCAAAATACCAGCTCATTCCTGGTAGCCCACCCCAACTCATTTTTCTGTTTTGTGAGCTCCATCATCAGACTTCACGAGAACAAACAGGCCTTTTGTGGTACTTGTGGGTGGACAGAGAAACCAGTGTGAGTGAGCCCATCACTGATGACACCAAAACAAAGGACACTGGAGTTGGCACCGAGAGCCTTTCTGTGGCAGTAGGTAGACAGAGTGCTCACAGTAAGGGCTGGGACATCAGGAGCATCACACACTTAGGATGTGTTATCAGTGAGCAGAGAAGCTGAAGCTGACGTCTGAGTGAGGGAGTGAGAGGCAAATACGGCCTTCTGTGGACCATGTGGCTGTTTCTCTGTGAAGAAAGGGGAGGAGCAGAATGGTTTAGGACACATACCTGCGCTCAGGGCTGCCTTCTTCCAACCAGGGGTGGTGTTGCCCTTGCTGGCACCCACAGTCCTCTCGGAATGTTTGCCAGTCCTGGTTGCAAGGGCTGCAGCTGCATTCTGTAGTTTGGGGGACTGGCTGAAGGTATGCAGGACATTTCGAGGTGCTGCAGCAGGGCCCCGGGACAGCTGACTGGAGGCCTGAGGGAAAATAGGAAACTCAAGCTCAGGAAAGTGGGGGGGTTGGAGCCAGGGGGCCGCAGAGGGCATGAAGCTCAGCGCAACCTCTCCTCGCTCTGTCCAACCGCTTCCCACCCACGTGGGGTCCCTAGAGTCCAAAACCAGGAAACCAGTAGGTTACACTGTGGGGTAGCTGGGATGGGGACAGACGGACAGACAGATCAAGTGGCAGTCGGCGGGCTGGCCACAGTGGGGTATGAGGGTTGGTTGGTGGTGCGGTGCGGGGCAGGTGGGCGGCGGCCCCGGGCCTCAGTGCTGACCTGTAGCTCGGCCCCGTTAGTCCAGTTCCGGGCCTCTCCTGAACGGAACGCCGCCTTACGCCGGGGTTTAATGACCTACACAAATGGGGAGTTGAGATCAAGATCAACAGCGTCCTCTGGTTGTTGTGTATGGCCCATCCTCACCCTTCTTAAGGGTGCCACCTATCACTCAAGAAACAATGTTTAGAACAGACAAACGGCTTCCAGGGAGACAGAAATTGCCCATAGGCAGCTTGAGATCTAAAAAGGGAAAGCAAAGGATAAAGAGGACTTGATTTCAAATCTGCCTCTCCTTAAGTCTTCCCAGACAATTCTCTACAGATGTCCATTTTGTCTCACTGTGGCTCTCAGAAAATTCCTTTCCAACAAGAAGCACTTTTTAGTTGGCACGCTCCAAGTGAGAGCTACAAAACTTAAAGAAACTGCAAATTAGTGTTTTCACTGTCAAACGCCACCATTAAGTACAATTTAAACACGCAGCTGACAATCATGTGGGTAAGTGCTGAGTGGACAGAAGCATCCGGAACATTTCGCCTGCTGGGGGCAGTTCCTTGCCAAGGAGGCCCATGTGTTCCAGACACCAAGGGCATGGGCTCACCTGCTTCAGCGCGGGGTGTGGTGCTGTGGTGGACTCTGCCTTGACCTGCACTGGTGAACCCTGCTGCAGCAGCCGCTGCTCCATCTCCTGTTCCTGCTGTAGCGCCTTCACGAAGGCGGCCTTCAGGCGGCTCGTGTGCTCAACCTTCAGTGCTCGCTTCTGGCTGGAGGTCATGCAGGTCTCACACATGATGGCGCCACCTTTCTCCTCCCGCCAGCGGCACGTGAAGTCTGTCTTGCACTGTGCACACGTGTAGGGCTCTCGAGACCGCAGTGTTGAAGCAGCTGACACTTTCCCTGCTGGAAGGACAGAACTTGAGTCAGGGGTGAGGTCAAGGTGTGAGAGCCCCTTACCCGGGGCAGGCCACAACATCTGCTTAAGTCTATCTCACTGCCATGGGGTCAGAACTAGCCCACAGCTGTCCCTCCAGCAGTTTCTCAGAGGATGTAAAGAACATGAAAGGAGATCACTCGTCTTTCTCCTGAGAAGCAACTGATGGATTTGAACCACCTGCACTTATTGACAGTGCGACTCCATTAGCCATGAGGCCGCCAGAGATGCTTGTAATATCTACTTTGTGAATCCATATAAACACCATCTCCACTAGGCATGTCAGCTTCTGGTAAACTTCACAACCTAAGCAAAGCCGAATTACATGGAAAATACTGGTCGTGAAGCTTCTGGGGTATTTATTCTCCAAAGAGCTCTGATCACCTTCCTATGGAAGGGCACTTTCACCTACCAACACAGTATGAACTGCACAGAGATTCGGGGGTTGGGAGAGTATTCCAGTCCTTTCTGCCGTCAGAGTACAGACCTTACCCCTGCTGCCCCCACAGCCATCCTGGCCTTACTCTCAGGACAATGCAGCCCAGGTTCAGGAGCAGGTCTGGCCCCAGGCAACCCCCAGCAAATGCTGTAGAGGAACAGGTTTCTACAGGCCTAGAGTGGCCAGATCTATCTCCAATTTACCTTCCAACCTCTCTCCATAAGAAGGGGGCCAAGTGTTTATGGGGTACCAGGGTCTGCCTAGATGGACACCAGCTTGTCCCTTGGAGGCAAGGGGACTGAGGGAAGCTCATCTTTCCTTTCTGGGGGTCTGAACCAGGCACGAGAAGGCCCGATACTGATTAATCTAAGATAGAGGCACTCTTGGTTTCACTTCAGCCTCTATTTCCCTCAGACAATGCCTGCATAGTCTTTATTCCAAAGATTCCCCCAGGATGCAAGTGGTCAGAAGATGTGAGCACAGGGAATCTGCCTGGTGTGGATCATCCTTTCTGGAGGTACAAGATTTTCAGACTCTGTGACTTTATCGGTCTTCTACTTGCAGAAGTTCTGGCTAGACTCTGAAGATATTCTTCAATGTTCCCTCTGCCTACCCACCACCATCATAGACTAATACGGTTGTCCCCAAACAGAAGCTGACTGGATGTCTCCACTGTGAAGTATTCACTAAGGGACCTAATTTCATAGGCAGAGGACTGAAGATGACTATGTATCAGAGATTTAATAACAGTTCTGGACACACGGTGGACATTCACACTAGCCTGATACTTCTCTGAGCTCCAGCTAACCCAGGCTCCCTTGTTCTTCCCCAGAATTCACTGTTCCGACCTGGACTTGTACACTCCCTTTAAGCCTCTTTGATTTACCCCAGCTACTGCACCAAACCCTCACCCTACCCAGGCCCTACTTACCTTGCGTCTCTAACAGGTTCTGTACTACCTCCTCCAGACCCACCAGGTAGATGAACTCATTGTTGGCAGCACTGGGAAGGAAACTCATCTCAGGAGCAGGGGGCTTGGGTGGGGGGATCTCTAACAGCGTCTTCTCCAATTGTTTGCGCAGTGCAAGCTTGGCGGCTGCCTGGCGGCTGGCCGGAGAATCCCCAGGAGCAGTTGCAGCGACAGTGCCTGTGGTGGTGGTGCTTGCTTGGGCAGAGGTGGCCACTGCCCCTTTCAGAGATGCTGGAGAGGCCTTTTGAGAGAAGATGACTGTCAGGATGTAGATTTGCCACAGTAGCTCCCAAGAATTCCTAATATCAAGAACCCCTGATACTTGTGTGTGTCAACAATCCCTCGGAGCTCTGTTAAATCTCAGCAGACTCCTAAAACTAGTGAGCCCAGGGAATGCATTTACATGTAGGATGATGCATCTTTTATACAGACAAACTGAGTTTAATGGTCTCAAACGCAAACTCACAGCTGACCTTCCACTGGGTCCAAGGCTATAAAAGTGCCTATCTTTCTCCCCTGGAGATGCTGTTGGTTACAAAAGACCACCAGAGGTGTGGCCTTTGGGTTAAAAGCACAATTCTCCACGGATGAGATCTCAGAGCTCCCCAGAGATTTTAACTAGTACCCAGTAAACTTCATCCACCAATTTAAACACACAAACAGTATGTGCTGACCTCCAAGGTACCCCGAGCAAGCCACCCTCAAGTGTGAATTCTTACACATGGGACACAAATGTTTACTCTTTCCTCAAACAATGTTGTGCGACAGTTGAGAGATGGCAAATTATCTGAGCTCATGGGCCCTTGTGGGACATGAAAACTAGAAAAAGCAGCTGCAGGCTCTATCCCTGTCCCCTAGTCCTCTTCTTCAGCCCCCATTACTAGGTGATCCTCTCTGTCAAAGCTCATGGTCAGCCATCACTGGCAGGGCAGTACCTTAGACTAACAATTCTTCCAGAAATCTGAGGGGAGATTAGTGTATCATCCCTAGGAAGAGGGATATGAATAAAGATTTGCAAATATACCCTATGCTTTCCCAGGGTGGCATTATCCCAGACAGAGGCAAGACTTCCAATAGAAAGGACAAAACCAGATTTGGGGGGTATCACCACTAATGGTGCTTCTCTGGCAAGCTCCTGTCCTCATCACAAAGCTTCTCTGCCCTAAAAAAGCAGATCCCCATTCTATCTTCCTACCCCTGACCCCTCCTGCACTCAGGGCATGCTAAGGCCCAGAACCGAGTCTGCTCACAGCAGGCTGGGTGAAATACACAGACAAATGAGGGTGCTGCGAGTACTGTCAGGTCAGGCTTTGTCTGGGTACATCTGTGTGGTCTCTATCTCAAAGGACACAGGCCTGCCTAGAGATAGTCCACTATGGTCTTGCTCAATCTGAGAGTTGGAGGGTGGAGGTGCAGGGGGAGGTAGTTCTAGCTGTTGTGGCAAGAGTGCTTTGATCCAGGGAAGAGAGAGAGAGAGAGAGAGAGAGCAAACTTGCTTGTCAGCAAACTCAGCACCCAGTTATTCTATGTGCCTATCACATGCACGCCCCTGCTGGCTACTCCGGGTGGGAGGAGACAGACCGCCCCATCTTAGAGGCCAGAACAAAGGTGAGGGAGCATGGTGCTAAGAATAGACATGCGGATTCTGAGGGAACATCTGCAGATGCACTTCCCTCTTGCACATTCAGCAGAAAAAAGGGGTACTCGGCCTAGAGAATTCCAGACAACAGAAATCATAGGATGAGGGTGGGTCACCAGGCAGCAGGGGGTGGCTCTGGATAACTCACCTTATCTACTCTCAAAAAAATGCTGTTTCTCACACAACACAACTGCTCCTGGGGCACATTTTGTTCTTCCCATCTGCTTTTTGTTTGTCCTACTGAAATTTTCCTCCCAGACAAAAGCCCTAGCCCCTTACCTGAGGGATGTTGACAAGCAGACTGGCATTGGGCACATTGGCAACCCGGATCAAGCCCTGCTGGATGATCCTCTGCCCCTGGATATGCACACTGGGCACGGACGCCCGGGGTGCCAGCAGCAGTGGAGGTGGCCCTGTTCCAGAATGCTGTCGGATATTGTGTATTTGCTGGGTAAAGGTGCAAAGAGGAGACAGAAAATGACCTGTCTAAGATGATGGAAGTGGAGACTCTCAGCACTACAAGACCCTCAGCAAAACCCTCAAGACCCTGACACCACTAAGTTTACCTGTCTACTCACCTGGGCCCCACGGACAAGTGGGGGCATGACAACTTGGGCGTTGGACTGTGATCCTGGTTTCACAGATGCCTGTTGTCCTCCACGGACCAGGGGTGGTGGGATGACACTTCCAGGCATGCGAGCTGAAGAGGCCTGTGGAAGATACACCCAGTCCCTTGAGTTCTGAAGTGCATATGGATACACTAGTTGTGCTTGATAAAGTATAGCAGTTCAAACAGTAGGTTGAAATGTCTCAATATTCAATTTAGCACATGAGAGAAGGGAAAAGACACCAATAAGATGGTGCAGACCTGGCTCCCTTGGTGTGGGGACAATCTTCCCAGAAACCAGGCTAACAAAGTCTACTGGAGGAATTTGGGACCTCTGAGGGGAAATCTCTGCCAATCGCAGAAACAAGGCGTGGGCACAGGAAAGGCCACCTATGCCTACAAAGTTTTGTGGGGTTTTTTTTCTCAGTGTACAGCCTCTGTCAGTGCTCACAGCCCATGGGAAAAGAGGCTGGGCCATGGTTTAAGGCTGCAGTTTAATCTGGCATGGGTACACTATGAAAGACCCACAGAGACGGGCCCGCCATAAATCCATTACCATGCTCTACAAAGTATTTTAGTATCCTCCAATCCCAGAGGTGTGTGGTTCAAATACACCAGATGCTCTGCTGGAGAAGGAGGGACTATCTCCTCCTGTGCCAGTCGGATCAGATTTGACAGTACACACACAAAATAATAAAATTAAAAACAAAAACCAAAAAACCACCAGTCGTCAGAATTTGGACAGCTTTGTTGAAAGTTCTACTTTGTAAGTCAGAGGAGCAGGTAACCTTACTCAGTCAGACTATAAAAATGCCTACTGTGGAGAACTGACCTGTAGTGACGGCTTGCCAGTAGGAATGTTCTGGGTGCCTCGAACGAGTGGGGGAGGGGTGGTCACGGAGTTCACAGAGGAGCCAGTTGGCTACAACAAAGCAAAGGACATGGAGTTAGGAGATTCCTGTGATCACTGTGATGGGGAAGGGGTATCTTGAAGGGTGAGAATGTCCTTGCTCTGACTTGTCAGGTCTTTGGGAGCTCTGCTTCCAGCTCCTGCTCACTGACATGTGCAAACAGGGTACACATGACCAAAGAAAGGCACCGTCCTACTTCACCAGCCCTCAGCACCATATTCTGCTACTCCTGAAGCTTGAGGTGACTCTCCATTGTGTGAGGGGAATCGGGCCTGAGGAGGACATCCTGATCCCTTACAAGGAGACACAGTGGAAGGTGTACACCAAAGCTGCACAAGCCCACTGTGGAATCACAGTCTTAACTTGCTCCAAAGATTTTTTTTTTTTTTTAAAAAGGAAAAATGAATAGGAGGGCTCTATTCTCAACAAAAGAAGACATTTCCATTTGTTGAGCAGACACTAGCACAGCATCCACTGCTTACAGGGTGGATAAAGGGAATAAGGCAAGACCCCAAACATAGGTGATACATCTGAGGAAAGAACAGAAGCGGAGTCCTCTCATCCATCTCATGTGCCCTCTCTACAGCAATGTATATCACTCTGTTGGCTTCTATCACCTAAGGTATATTTACATTTGGTTTACAGAGACAGGAATTCAAGTTATGGGAGGGTAATTTCAGCCCTACTAGTGAATCTTCCCAATATGGAATGCCAAAAATTCTATAAAATAAATGGGAACATTCTCAAGACATTTCTTCATTGAAAGTTCTATCTTGGGAGGTCTGGTGGCCTAGTGGCAAGAAGCTGCACTGCAATCTGAGAGGTACGCAGTTTGAATCCACCAGATGCTCTGCTGGAGGAGGGGCAATCCCCTCCTGTACCAGTCAGATATGATTTGATGGTACACACACACACAAAAATAAAATAAAAAAAGGAAAATTCTATCTTGACTGAAATATACCCGAGCATCCTTTTAGAAAAAATCTAAAACATGTACTTGAGGTAGCAAACAACAAATGCAGGTGGGGTGCGGAGAGACTGGAACTCTTCTTCATTGCTGGTAGGAATGTAAAATGGTACAACCACTATGGAAGGTGTCACAGTACTTTCTCAGAAAGTTGAAAATAGAAATACCATTTGACCCAGTAATTCTGCTAATGGGACTACATTCTAAAAAACCAGAATCACAACTCAAACAGATGTATGCACACCCAAGTGTCCATCAATAAACCAATGGATAGAAAACTACAGTGTATTCACACAGTGGAATACTATGCAGCACTGAAAAACAATGAACTCATAAAAACATTACACAACATGGGGGAACCTGAAGACATAATACTAAGTGAAATATCTCAGTCACACACACAAAAAAGAAATATCTCAAGTCACAAAAGGATAAATATGGCATAAGACCACTGTTAAGAAAACAAGACAGAGGGGGTGGTTGAGAAGAGAATGAGGAAAGAGTAGGTAAGTAACAAACACTGCATTAGAACAGATGAGGGGAAGAACTGTCCAAAAGGAATATATGAGTATGCTTTATATATATGAGAATAATCTGGAATCAGGATGCAATGCAGGATGGGCTAGGGGAGAGAGAAGGAAGGGGGGGGCGGGGGAACATGCAATAATGAATAAATAAAATTTCTTTAAAAAAAACCAACAGTATTTGAGTCTGCAAATTTCCATTTGCAAGATGCTGTTTTACCCCACACCAGCCTGGTGACACCTGAAAGATCCACTCAGCTCTGATTCTGAGGAGCGTGACAGGTCAGGGTAATGTTGCGGCATTGCTGTACCATGCTTGCCTTGACTGACAAGGACTCTGAGCAAAGTCCAACCCAGGGAGCGTGGATGCACAGGCTCACCTTCTGAGCAGTGGTTTCTTTCTGGATCTGACTCTGGCGCAATTTTTTCAGCAAAACGAGTTTTGCTTCTTCTAATCTTAACTCTTCTTTTAGTTGCTTAATCATCCTTTCTCTGTCTTCAGGACTACTTTTCTGCAACAGCAAGAAATAATGGTGGGAGAAGATCACGCAAGCCTCAACTATGAGGGTCCCCTGGCAACACGATCTAAGAGGAGTAAGACTCACCATGAGGGCTTCAGTGCTGGTCTCCATAAGTGACACTCTCGTCAGTCCGTTCACCCGTGGGCTGGCTGGCTGCTCACCATCTGACAGCACAATCACATCGGGTGAGGGCGCTCTCCTCTCAGCCTTCACATCACTGTGGATAGAGACAGTGGGCATTGTGACACAGCATCAGAGCCCCAAAGACCATAAACAAGCCTGTGGGCATGCATGGGGCAGCTGAGTGCCTATTTCACACCAGAGTCATCTCACCTATTAGCCTCTGGGCCAGCTGTTTTCGGGACAGCCAATCTTGAGGCCCCAAAGTATTTGCCACACTCACTTCCCAACTGGACTATCACCTGTCATGCTGGGCGTTATCAGCAGCAGGGGCTATTTTTTTGTGCCTATCCCATCTTCCCAGGCTATCAGAGTCTGGACACCCAGTCAAAGTGCTGCTTAGTGACAAATATTTTGAAGCAAGCATAGCTTCCTTTTCTATGACATGGATCTAGTGCTAGCTCTGAGCTTTAGATCTGGCTGTACATCCTGGAGCCAGAGCTGTTATTTCACCATGCTGGAACCTCTTAGTGACCCCTGCCCTTGATGAGTGAGCTCTCCCCACAATCTTCCAGCTCCCTGATGGCTGATGTGTAAGGAGAGCAGAAGTGATTACATACACGTCCAAGACTAACATTCATGCACAGGTCCTCAGATCTCGGGACTGTCCTTGTTTCCTGGCCCCTCTCCATGCTCTCATCTGCCAGGTATTGCCTCTCTCTTCTATCTCAGCCCTCCTACTCAGGAACCTGAGTTCAAAATACACCTCTTTTAGCCCATCTTGCTCTGCTCCTGCTATACAGCAGGATAAGGGGACAGGGAATTATAAAACAATGCTACTATGTCTCATTTCTTTGTTATTTATCAAGATAAGGTTACAAATAGCCATGTGAACAGCTGAAAACCATGTATGAAAATCCCTGTTGAGAATGTTCTGAACTGAGTACTTGCAGGCACCCTGTGAACAGCATCTCCTATATCATTTCTTTTACTCTGACCAGGGTGATAGGCAGAAGGTCCCCTAGGATGCAGGTTTTTAGGGACAGCAGTCACAGCACTAAGAGCTTATCCTCGGCACTGCTCACCACAGGCCAGGCGCATGGATCCCAAATACACACGTCTTCCCCCAAAATCACTTCACTGCATGAAGCACAGTCTAAAGTCCTCTGAACTTCATGCGCCTGGGTTCAGCACGTGAATGAATACCACATGTCTCTAGGTGGCGCTGCGACAATGAAAATAAACTCCAGCAAGCTTGTGGTTTTTAAAGTTCACTGGAGAACAGCTTGCTCACCATTTCTCACTGACAGAAGATAGGCTTAGGTCTTAAGATAGGACCTTGAATGTGTACCCACAGCCAGCTTTTGCATGCAGTCTCCACCTTTAGAGTAACCAAGGACAGGCAAACGACAGACCTCTGGCTCCCCAGGCCACTCCTCACTCAGAGCCATGAGACAAAACACCCAAGGCAAATTAACACAAAGAAGATAGTCTCAAAGCAAGGTCCCTAAAGAAGGTAATTAGCCACATTCCTGAGTTGGACATCAACTGCTTATACACTTAACCAAAGCATCTTGTCCCACTGAAGCTAGCTGGTATCCTCACTGATTGCACTACTACTCAGTTAAAAGGATCCACAAGTCTCATGCCAGGTCTCTGAGAGTGCACACCTGAGTTGTCCACACAGAAATGCACACAGCTTTCAGGTGTCTCCTGGGTTCTCTCCCTGAGATCTTTACACAGCTCGATGATCCATAGGCAGGCAAATTTCTCTTTAAGGCCGCTGTTTCCAGCTCACAGATGACAAGGCGCTCGCTGGCTGAGCTGCCCATGGCCTGGGTGGGCCCCTGGTAACATATGTGGGCCAAGGAGTTGCTCAGGTAAAAGTCTAAGGTTACAGCCTCACAGATGCTTACAGGCCAGACAGATACTAATCATACCCTTAGCCCACCACTGTCCTGCATGTAGTTACAGCCCTGCAGTGAGTATACGCATCCAGAGAAATGCTCAGAAAATTCTACCTGCTTGGGGAACAGGGGAAGATTCTGAGGGAGGGCTAGCTTGCCCAGCAGCTTCAGTGTGCCAAAAGTGACCAGAGCTTGAATGACCACAGGGCTCTCACTCGGGCCACATCTTGGCAGTAAGTGATCAATAACCCAGTGTCCAGGGATGATGTCACCTCCCACCAGAGCAGCTAAGCATCCAGGCAGCCAGCAGGGAGTGAACTTCCTGTATGCTAATCAGGCCACCAAAATGTCATGTGACAAAGGCATTTCCCTCCCTGGTCATGTGACCCTTTAACTGTGCCTTCCAATGTGAAAACCATGGCAACAGCCAGTTACAGCCGGTTTGTGACATGCAGCCTTCATTTTGAGAAGTGAGGTGGGGCTCAGGTGCTGTCAGAAAATGGAGGCTCCTGCACCCCGCCCACCCACTAGTTCTCTGGCTACAGCACTTCCTGTCACCTCAGTCAGGATTAGGCCACTAGTATTCAAACTCAGAAACTTTACAAAGCTCAACTTTTAAAGGGAAGGTGCTTCAAATCTCTCAGTGATGTCCCAGAAAGTTCTTCAAGTTTAGGAAAAGACCAGCCCTTGAATATCAGCCACAACGGCAGGAGGTAGGTAGTGTTTAAAAAAAATATTTCTCTCAAAAAAAGAAAGAATAAATAAAAATTTCTCTCTCTCTCTCTCACACACACACACACACACACACACGAATAAATCACCTGAGCCAGAAGAAACCAAGAAAATAAAGTGGAGAAGAACTTGTCAGCCGCAGTAGCCCATTCTCTGCTTAGGGAAATGGAACATATCTATCCGGGTCCTAGAACTCATCTAGACTGTTGTTGTTGTTATGTGCCATCCAGTCGCTTGCGACTCATAGCGACCCTATGTACAACAGCCCTAAACCCTGCTCTATCCTGTGCCAATC